TCCTATTAGAAGATACACTAAAGAAGATGTTATTAGACAAAAGCTTTTGCCACCACCAGAAGACACTGTTCACGTTGTCGATCCTCCACTTACTAATGTAAGATTTTTGTTGTTTCAATTGATATTTAGTTTTTCCAATTAATAATAACAGGATACACAAAATATAACATCTCTTGTAACATTATCTTACTTTTGCACAGAGGGACAACTTCAATGATTCCAAAACTAGAAGGATTAAACCTTTGAAAGGGTACAAGGTAAGTAAATATTACTTATAAAATATATAGATTTATTTATCCTCTTTGGCATTTTTATTTGGAGTAGGACATCATATGTGATCCTCTTTTTCAATAATGCAAATCACAAAATTGAAGAATAATTCATAATTTACAATTAACTCATTTATTCTTTTCAGTTGGCTATTGTTTCAACAGAAGACAATCCAAACAACAAGTTTGGTGGAGCTTCCATGATAGCTGCTATATATAATCCTCGTAGTACAGGTCAACAACATAGTGCATGTCGTTTGAAACTTATTAAAGGAAAAAATATTATACAAACGGGTTGGAGAGTAAGTCAGATCAATTATACATTCAAATTTTCCTTGGTGCCTATATATATGTCATTATTTTTTCATTTTGCTTTGTTAGGTTGACCCTACTCTATATGGCGATAATAGAACTAGAGTATTCATACATTTCGATGTAAGTCTCCAACTAGTAATATTGTTTAAATTTGTCCCTCAAATTATACATATTAATCCTTTTAAAAATATATTTTTCAGGATGGTACAAATTCTTGTTTCGATTTGTTATGTCCTAGCTTTGTAATTGTAAGTCAAAATATCACTTTGGGTCAACCACTTCCTCACACTTCCACCATTCATGGGAAACTCTATGACATGGCATTTCAGATTAAATGGGTAACTTTTCTGCCTTTATTTATATATAAAAAAAAACTCTCAGTATTAGTATTTTTGTTCCTTTAATTATTGATATGTTCCAATTCTAGTTCATATCATATGTCATTTATAAGTACATTAAACATTCAACGTGGGTTTTGGCTGTATATGTTGCTCACATCCTCTCAAAATATCATTATGGTCGTATCGAATCCTTCAAAAAAAAATTATCTTGTTGAAGGATCCAACACACATCATCGGATCTGACAGTGATACTTTTGAAGGATCTGACACGCATCATCAGGGTGACACTCATCTTGAAGGATCCGAGCAACATATATAGACCTCAAGTAGAAGCACCAATATTATATACTAAGCATATTGCATGACTATATGTTTGTTAACCATGTTTAATTTTTTGAAAAAAATGTATATATATATATAGGATCAAGAGAAAGGGAATTGGTGGCTATTCCTTGACAATGTAGCAATTGGTTTTTGGCCAAAAGAAGTGTTTGATGATTTTGGTAATTTTGCAACAAAAGTTGAATGGGGTGGAGTTGTGTATAGTCCAGCTGGGGTACTTGAACCACCAATGGGTTCAGGGCTTTACCCTCTTATGAGAAGCACAACAGTTAATGCATATTGTAGAGTTATAACACTCTTAAATGACAAGGGTCAAAACATTGATCTATTAGGTTCTAAGTTGCCAACATTTTCAACAACTCCTATGTTGTATACTGTAATTGATGTTCCTAATTATCCAGGTCTTGATTATAATCATACCATCCTTTATGGTGGACCTGGTGAGATTTAATTCAATACAATATCCTATTTAAATTTCTTTATGTAGGACATCTTCTTTTTTTGTTTTTACTTTTTCTAAGTTATGCTCTTTGAGTAATTTGCAGCACTACATCTATGATTGATTAATTTCGTATGTGTTGTCAAGATCCTCTTTCAGCGTGTGAGTATCTTTTTAAATTATTAGGCAAAGAAGGTAGGGGATAAGAATCCAATTGAATCGAATCGAATCAAATAGAACTCACCAATAATAATGTGAATGTTCAGGTAGTCAATTAGAGCTACTTAGATTTCCAATACGTGAGCTAATAATATAAGAGATACAAATAATAAACTAACTACGTACAAATGTAATATATTAATTGATTATAATTAAGGATAATACAGATTATAATATCTTCGAAATCATGAGCACAAAAATGGAAATATTAAGTTGTTAATGGACATTTGATACAAAATTGCATGTAGGTTTATCATTATCTTACTAATTAGAAGTTAAAATTTCTACAAGGAATTGTCATACAGAACCGTATCAATTTTAATATTGATGATAGTTTAACAGAAAAGCCATGTATAAACATCAAATACGACGCACTCTAGCTAACTATAGAATTTCAACAAATAAATTCATCTCTATTTAAATAGATTAATTAATGTGACAAAACATCATTTTAAAATGATACACAGCAGAGGGACACTAAAGCGTTTCATTATTATTAAGAGAAGCAATTGATAATAGGGCCTCCGTTTTACCATAATTATAAGCATTTTACCACCTTATTACTTTAATATTATGCTAAATTTGTAATGGTAATATAATTTTATAAAGAGTAAATTTTAAGTTTAGCAAACATAAAAATCATAATTGTATGTTATAGCTATAATTTGCATAATTGCGCTCATAAACATAGTTTGCTAGCATCAGATTTGTATAAATCGCAGGCAAACATCTCGTTTGTAGAAAAGCGCAGCGATTGTATATGTATATCGGCTAGATAATTGTATATATGTAACTACTATGTATATGTATCAATGATTGTGTTTGTATATCTGTATAAAATTTAAATTTGTATACAATTGAATTGAAATAAAACATTTGTATATCAAATCTCTCTCTCGCTTTATACAACACAAACTATACATTGTAATTTGTATAAATAAAAAAATCTAGGAAAATAAAATGTATTCATGTTAAAACTTTCAATAGCCATATTTGAAACACTTCCAAACAAATTAACGATTCACCGAGTTAATGAATACCCGATCGATTATGTATTTTACCGATTATCTCGAAGATCAAGTTGAAAATTTCGTGCCAAATATGTATATCACCGAAATTCTAATCGATTATTTAAAAATCTTCTTCACCGCCAACAAAAAACTCAAATAAATAGACTTTTCGACATAGATTGAGTATTATCAATAGAGTGTTAAAAGTTGATATTGAATTTTGAGGAATAAGGGAGAGAGGCCCCCTATCGATTATTGTTTGGAACGTAATTGACTAAGAATTTCAGTGATATTTACCTTATTTGAAATATTAATTCCTCTGATTTTCTCCAATTTGATATTACCTAATTATATTCTGCCAAATTAAACAATATATTTGTTTTTTTTACATAAGTCAGCTCTACAACAAACTAAAATATAATTATTTTTAATGAATATTAAAAATATGATTAAAAGATCCGGTTAAATACTAAAGAGTAAATTTTAAGTTTAGCAAACATAAAAATCATAATTGTATGTTATAGCTATAATTTGCATAATTGCGCTCATAAACATAGTTTGCTAGCATCAGATTTGTATAAATCGCAGGCAAACATCTCGTTTGTAGAAAAGCGCAGCGATTGTATATGTATATCGGCTAGATAATTGTATATATGTAACTACTATGTATATGTATCAATGATTGTGTTTGTATATCTGTATAAAATTTAAATTTGTATACAATTGAATTGAAATAAAACATTTGTATATCAAATCTCTCTCTCGCTTTATACAACACAAACTATACATTGTAATTTGTATAATTTGTGTTTGTATAAAGTGAGAAAGAGAGAAAGGCAAAGGAGAACTAGTAGGGGAAGATCTGTATTTGTATAATTATAAGTATATAGGACGAAAATATATGTATTTGTATTTGTATATACAGTTTTCTCTCGCTTTATACAAACACAAATGCAATTTATACATTTGTGTTTGTATAAAGTGAGAGAGACGAGGGAGAGTGGCGAGCGAGATTTCTTGGGAGAGAGGCGAATGACAAGTGTTTGCTACGGATTAGAATTAAATGAAATTGTGGTTATAACATTTATTTTGAATTAATAGTTTGTTATTTTATACAATTTTCCCTTTTATAAATGGTCCAATATAACATATTTTTCACATACAGGACAAAATCACACATTTTAATTGTTTAAAAATTAAACATATTTAAGTCATGGGAATTCGCGTCTTGCGGTTGTTACCCTAATTTGGACGGTGTTAATTTGGGGGTTAAAAAAATTGCCCTTTTGATTCTAAAATCAATTTTGTTGATCTTTTGGAATATTTGGCAAATTTTCTTACCCTTTTGGCTCCAGACTCAAATATTATTGAACATCCCAAAATAGTATATCTAGTGGACAACTATTGTTGACGGAGGGAGTATATCTCTTATATTATTACCTCACATTTGCACAAAGGGAAAACTCATCAATCAATCCCAAAAAAAAAAACTAAATAAGACAACCATTTATTGACTAAATAATAAATTATCATACTCATTGATGAGTTTTTAATTCAAAAATGATTTCATGAACTTTTCTTTTCTAGAGGTCAATCAATTAATATCCAATTAAACAGAAAACAAATCTTCAAAAATGAAATAATTTGTTCACTTTAATTAAATAATTAATCTCCTTATGACAATAATATCATTAAATTTGTTCACACTTTTTCCTCCACAAAAAAGTAAGAATATATAAACCGAAAAGTATTTGATAATCTTTTTAATAAATAAAACATATCCTATATGGTGAATCTCCTCTATGAATTAATTTCTCTATATAAATCTAATCCAATTAAGTATAAAATCAGTAGTCTAAGCCAGAGTTGCTAAAAAAATTCAACCTCAAGAAATTTGGTGAATCAAGTAAGTGATATATGGTCAATTTTCATACTTTTTTTTATATCAGCAAAAAGTTATTATCTTCATATTTATAATATTTTTTTAGTCTTTGGATGAATTTGTTTTTTGTTATATATGTAGAAAATGATAATGAATCAAAGGATCATAGATCAATTTTTGTTAATGGTCTTTCTATGTTTGAGTTATGATGGGGTACGAGGAACAAAGTTGTCCAAACAAGAAGATTTAGAGTTGGAGAAGCAACTAAAAGTCCTAAATAAACCTCCAATTAAAACCATTAAGGTATGAATAATGTGTCTCAATAGACAATTTTTTTCTAATATTCTTTGTCTTTCTGGTATAACGTTAATCAGTTATATTTTATTTTATTTATTAACAGACTAAATATGGTGGCATATATGATTGTGTGAATTTCTACGAGCAACCTGCATTTGACCATCCTTTATTGAAGAATCATAATTATCATCCTCAGGTTTGCCTCTAAAATATATCCGATCTTACAATCAATTTTTAATTTCAAATCTTAAAATGAGTAGTAATTTTTATGAAAAGAAATTTTGGATGAGCAGATGAAACCATCTTTTTCTATGAAAGAGAGTGTTTCGACTATATCAAGAAGTAATTACAGGTCGTCAAGAATCGGATTACCCGATAGAGGATGTCCAGTTGGAACTATTCCTATCAGAAGAACCACCAAAGAAGATCTCATTAGACATAAACTTATGCCGCTATTTGAAGATGTCATGTTCAACAATTCACTCAATCGCGTAAGATAGTATATATATATTTTTTTTTGAAGTTGAAAAAAATGATTTTGATGAGTCATATTTCACTATTAATCATTGCTACTTTATAACTTTAAAACAAAACACTAAAAATTCATTGTCATCACAAATTAAATTTAGCATTTTACATTATAATATATCTTATATTATTACCTTACTTTTGCAGAGAAAAAAACCTTTAAAAGGGTACAAGGTACATATCATAATTTACTATCTAAATTTTTAAATTTGAAATATGTTAAATTAATCCTATATGTTTGGGAAGAATTCTCAAATTTAATTAATGGTTGTATATATATTTACTATCTTCAGCTTGCAATCGTTCATACTGAAGACTTTCCAGGTAGCAAATTTGGTGGAGCTGGAGTAATAACTAATGTTTATAATCCTCGTGTCGAAGGTGAACAACATAGTGCATGTCGATTAAAAATGATTAAGGAAAAAAATATTATACAAGTCGGTTGGAGAGTAAGTAGAAAACTTTTTCTATATTAATTGTATAGAATTGAGCCATACATCCATTTCACCTACACTTATCATTATTTACTTTCTGATTTAGGTTGACCCTGCCTTGTATGGTGACAATTTAACTAGGCTATTCATACATTTCACGGTTAGCATTTTATATATTTCATAATTTCAATTGCTCAATTCTTCAATAATATAATTTTTTTGATATTTAATTTCAGGATGGAAAAACTAGTAGTTGTTTCAATTTGTTATGTCCTGGATTTGTTCTTCTAAACACACAAATACCTATAGATGGAGTATTTGAACCCGTTTCACAACGTGGAGGGAATATATCTGAAATAGGACTATCGATAAATTGGGTATTTTTTCTTTCTTTCTTTATTCAAATCAAACGTAATTATATATTTATCGACCCTTATTTGCTAACATTGAAAATATGTAGGATCTAGAAGAAGGAAATTGGTGGTTGTTCTCTACAGAGTCTAATACACCATTTGGTTTTTGGCCTCGAGAAGTGTTTGATGACGACTTTGCATATTATGTAACGAGAGTTGAATGGGGTGGAGTGGTATATAGTCCACCAGGAATACTCGAACCTCCCATGGGTTCAAGTTTTTTCCCTATTGAAAACAATAATTATGATGCATTTTGTAAAAATATGACACTTTTAAGTGATAGAGGTGGACGACTCTACACAGTAGAGAGTCAATTGTCTACATTTCTATCCAATAGTGATTTGTATAATGTCTCGACTATTCCTGGTTTAATGTATTATGGTGGACCTGGTGAAAAGTAGGTATTAGTAATATTTATGGCTATTCTAATTTATCAATATAATAATAATGCAAGAAAGTATGTGCAATATATTTTATCTATATGTCCTCTTATAATTTTTGTAATAAGAAGGAAGCATGCATGTTTAACTTTTAACTAATTGAGAGGTATGTTTTTAGTCCTTTTATGTCGAAAATATGTTATATCTGATTTATTTTTTTAGAAATTAAATGTATTTCCGTCAAACATATATAAACTTAACATATTATATGTGTTATTGATGAATACTCGTGGAACAGTAGATCGATAATCATGATAAATTTGTGAATATTGTTCACAAATAAAAAAATTAAAAGATGCACATTTTGACTAATTGAAAGTTCAAATATATTTCATCAAATATGGCCAAATTAGAATTATTAACCTACAATTGAATGAACAAAACTGCTGCAATGAGCAACAATTTAGAGATTCAAAATCACTATGTATGTATCAACTTGAGCTATTTAGCGAGAACTTAGGGGGTGACTAATGAGTTGGGTTAAGATGAATTAAGTGCTAGCTTATTATAGGTACTTTTAAGTAGTTTTTAAGTGTTTGGGTAAAAATAAAAAAAGATGAATAAGAACTCGAATGATAGAGAATAGAAGCAGAAGGAGATATTTCAATTTAATAATTTCTTAGAAGTCAAATGATTTTAAATCAAAGAGGTTATTCGCAATAAGGAAAATTGTATGAAATAGCAAACTATTAATTTAAATTAAATGGTATAGCCATAGTTCATTTTATTTGTAATTCAAAGCAAACATCCCATTTTTTTGTCATCTGATTCGGTATACAATTAGCCATTTTATACATTTCGGTATAAAATGTATAAAATGTGTTTTGTGTTTGTATAAAGCGAGAGAAAAGTGTATATACAAATACAAATACATATATTTTCGTCTTATACACTTATAATTATACAAATTACAATGTATAAATGAATTTATCAAAACTGAATAATTTGTATAAAAATTGAAATGTATCTAGCGAATTATACAAATCAAAAGCTCCATTGCAAACATAAAATTTGCTATGGAGCGCAATTATGCAAACTATTGTTATACAGTAACATACAAATATGATTTTTATGTTTGTTATATGTGAAAGTTATTCTTTCCAGTAACCCATAAGGCCCATTAGAGACTACATGACCATGCACAAATCCTTTTTTTAGTCATCATTTAATTTTTGAAAATTGTGCGTATGAATAGCTCTTGAATTATTATTTTTTCTGATATATTGTTCAACTTTAAAATAAATAGATAATAATCCTTCCATCTCAATTTGTATGACATGGTTCGAATTTCGAAAATTAAATTTCTTTGAGTTGATCATATTAATAACTCTTTACGTCTAAAGAAAGTGTAAATGACCTAGTACTACATTTTAAAGCAATTCCCTTTTGCTTTATCCGCACAATAGGGGAAAAAGACTTAATTCTATCGGAATATAGTTACCCAAAGTTGCGACCCAAATACCTAGCTAATATATGTCATTTTAAGTGTACTATATCATGGTCAAATTCCTCCAAGATTCAAATTGTATATAGCTAACTTGGCTCATGTTTAAAAGTTTATTTGACTAAATGAATCTCACCTACAAAATGAGTAATAACAATTTTGATTTGAAAAATAATAATTAATGCATTATCATTTCAAACCAAATTTGTTTTGCTAAAATGACATTTTGAACGGATCCGAGGTAGTGCTTAAAATTAAATACTAATTTTACTATTGTGGAGCTAGCGCGCAAGATAAACTTAAATTGATGTGAATTTTTGCAATTGAAGAGTATCCAACTAGGTTTGCAGGCTATAACTGCAAGTACTTGTTCACATACCAATAAATGAGGTGTTGTAGTAGATAATATATACTCCCTCTCTCTTTAATGAATTAAATTCGTATATAGATATTGCAGTCTCCCAACATCTCATTAATTGCAAATGAAGATTTCATAGAGAAGAAGTTAATATATCTACTCACAAATTCAGAATCTAAAATTTATAAATTTTTATTAATCTCAAATTATAAAGAAAAAGAGAAACCAAACAAAGTGTTGCGTGATTTCTTGTAAAGAAAAAATAAATAAGAAGCAAATTTGTTTTATATATCTAATGAATTCTCAATAAATATACAAAGTGCGAGTAAAATCCAAACTTCCTAACTTGAATCAGCCCTTGAATAGGGAGTACTTACTATATACTAGTAACATTTGTTATGTTACATATATTGTGTAAAGTAGAAATCCCCTTTGTCTAATTTATCATGGAGTGTGCTAGTTTGTTTACCACCAAGCAATATATATATATATATA